GGACTGATCGTTAAGGCACGGTTCCCAGCAGATCACCGAAGTCAAGCATCACTGGTTGCGGTCAGTGTGCGGGTGGGTGACCACTTGGATTAGTCTGCGTAGGGACCGAGTGTGTGCGGTAATGGTCCTCGTTAAACTGTTCTTCCGTAAAGTGCTCGACTTCGGGTTCAGGTCATCGGGCTACCGAAGCGGGGGTGCCATCCCCTCTGCAGAGGATCAAAATTGTGATGGCATGTCGTCGGATCATCCTTAGAGATGTTTCCCAGACCGTCGCCAATAGCCCATTGTGCAGCTCTAGTGCGACGTAAGTGAACTACAACAACAACAACAAAATGCATAGATAAAAAATGATGTATTGGGGGCAATTTACAAATTGTTCGAAGTGATTGCAGGGTGCGTAGGGTTTTTAAAAAGTTCTTAAAGGTGCTTATTTTCTTTTTATAAAAGCAATTAAAGGTGCTTTTTTCCATTAAATGTTCTCGAAATGTACTTAAGTTTTTCTTTTTCCAAAAATTCGATGTATATATTTTTTTTTTTACCCTGTCGATTTTCGCCACGAATTCAAAAAGCGTGTCTTTTACATTGTTCTATTTAACGTTTTCACTATTCATTCAACCACTATCCATTACGGGATAATGTCGCGCCGTAGGCTTTGAAAGCTTCGATCATTTTGCATTTTGACGTAATTCTTACGGTTCCGCATGTGCGTATATACGAGCTGGATACAGTGAGAAGGAGTTTTGCACTCGCATATGCAACTCTGATGCACTTTGCGAAATGTTCGCAATTTCAGGTTTCATTTTCCGCCCTCCGAAATTGAACCGAAAAATCACTCGAATTTCTGAACATTTTTTTTAAAAAAAAATACCAAATTTTTGAAAATTATCAGAAGAAAATAAAACATTTGCAAACGTTGTGTATTTACTGCAATATGATTTGTTTTGAAATCTGTTTCTGGTTTATTCTCTTCTTTCCTCATTAACGGAGACTAATATTTTTTTTAACCTTTTTTTCATGTAAATAATGTTATTGTGAGGATCATAAAAGTACAACCAAAAGTGAACTAACGAATGCACCATCGCTTCGCAAAAGTAGCATTGATGGCTGATTTACATTTTGTATAAAATCACATTGTAGCATATATTTACATATTTAGGGAAGCTAATTTCATTAAGTTGGTCGATGGATTTAGGTTTCTCATACAAACTCAAAGGACTTCATTTCGCGGCGTAGTGAGCTATCCCAGTTTACACCAAATTTGGTTGTTACGTATAAGAAGAAATTGCTTGGTTTATATTCATGAAATATTTTTGATCTGTACTGAGATCATATTCTCTCATTTCTGACGAATCTTTTTCAATCCGTTGAAACTTATTAGTGAAAGGTGTTTGCAGAGGAACAAACTCTTGCCCATAGGTCGAAAATCCTCAAGGATTCGCAAACGTACCGTCCAGATAATCATGATATACCTTAGCAATAGCACATTTGATTGAAACTTGCTTATCACCCACTACAGATCTTTTTCGAACTTCTTTTAATCAGACAAATAACGCCAAATTCCGTACATTTACCAGAGTTCAATCGTAGCCAACTACAATAAGTTGAGAAGCATCATTTGATTTGTTTAGCTATTGTCCCACTATCGACTGATCGTAAAGACACGGTTCCCGTTAGAACACCGAAGTCAAGCATCCCTGGCTGCGGTCAGTGTGTGGGTGGGTGACCAATTTGATCAGTTTGCGTAGGGACCAAGGGTGTGCGGTATCGGTCCTCGTTAAACTGCTCTACCGTAAAGTGCGCTGGTCGTCATGCTACCAAAGAGGAGGAGTCATCCCCTTTGCAAAGAATCAAAATTGTGATGGCATGTCTTCAGATCATCCTCAGGGATGTTTCTCAGACCATCCCCATCAGCTCATTGTGCAGCTCTAATGCGACGTAAATAAAGTACCTACCTATCTCTCTGTAAATCGTATATTCTCGTATCAAACGGTAAAGCTACTTCGAAGGCAGCACTAAGTCTATCCGGTATTCTATATCTGGCACATGTTATAGCAAATGTCCTAGGTTTTATTCTGATTTGGGGTTGGACTGAGGTTAAAGGCGATGGAGAGCCGAGAATTTTGGTATTTCTTTGACATCGAATTCGACGCTTTTAGAATGCACTTCTTTGCCTTTATTTTGTAACTAAAATGTTTTGAGTGAGCTTGGAAACTTGTGCTTTGCTTAAAGGTAAATTTGTTTTTTATAAATCCATCTTTTTAATTAACTGTTTACAGACTTGCAAATTAATAGAGCCTATTCCATTCATATTACAGATTGCTAGTCAATTAAAAACATCGCTTTTAGATGAACTTTCCTGTGATTTTACATAAAATGTAAATCAGCCATCAAAGCTAGTTTCCTGAGGCTATGGTGTGTGATTTTTAGTTCCTTACTTCTTGTTTACTTCTGTTTGTACTCTTATAAGCCTTACTAAAGCATTATTATAATAAAAAAAGCTTCAAGAACCCTCTAGTGTCCGTTAATCAAGAAAGAGTAAAATTACCAGAAAAATTTCAAAACTCATTAGTAATATTTAAGTAAATACACGACATTTGCAAGGTATTTTCTTTTCTTCTGACAATTTTTAAAAAACTTGTTTTTTTTTTTTAATTTTGTACTTTTTGTAAAATTTTATAATTTTTACAGCTGTTGCAAAGAGTGAAAATATTGTTCAAAAATTCTGAAAAGATTCACAAGTAATATTTCATGCAATACAAAGCTTTTGAGTGGTAATTTGTTTTCATATGACAATTTTCGAATATTTGAAAAATTTACAAAATTTTGCTTTTTCTTGAAAAATTTTAAAGCTTTTGCGGAAAATAAAGATGATGCATTAAAAATCGGAAAAATTCACGTGTGATATATTAGTTCATATTCAACTTTTGGGAAGTAGTGCTTTTTAATTATTAAAAAAAAATTTCGTTCCACTCTAATAAGGAGTGACACTGTAATTAGCGAATATATGATGTTTGTAAACTGATTAATGCGGAAAATGGCGGTTATTTAATATTTCACAATGCGAATGTTAATTTAAGTACATATATATCTTCTCCTTAGACAAACATATGTTTTTAAATTTTCAATAATAAAAAAGACCTATCTGCTATCGGCTTTACTCGAGCAAAAACGTTCGCAGATTTTTCTTAGGAGTTGTAAAAAGGAAAACGTTTATTGAAAAAATTCGAGATTGGTTATATTCTTGTATTTCTGAAAAATATTTTCACATTAATTCAAATTTTTTTTTCAATAATTTAAATAGAACTAATAAATCGTTTGTTAATACAAATTTAAGGTTACAATTTGCATTTTTAATAACATATTTATCTCAAAACACTAAAAATTTAATAAAATAATGCTTTATTTAAATATTTTAAATTTACTATGGTATGAGCATGATGGAAAAATTATTGATTTCAGTTTTCTATAATTTTTTCAACGTAAATATCTTGTTTTCAACACTTTCGAATTAAAAAAAAAAGTGATTATGATAGCCACTATGTAGATAATTTTGAGTGCCTTTTTTTTTTTAAATTTTTTACTCAGTTTATGGACCAGAGTAAATTTAATGTAGCGCATTATTTTTATTTTATTTTTGAATCAAAAAATTTTAAAAGCAAATAATAATTTTCTGAAAAAATAAATTTTGATTTCGGCAGATAAAAGAAATGTTCTAATTTATAACTAATACATTTTAATGTATAGCTCCTTATTGTTTTTCTAGATTTCACAGTGTTTAACACACACGCCGCCTTTATAAAGCAATTATAGACTTTTTCAAAAAAAAACAAACCTCCTATCTCATAATCTGATTTATTAGTTTTGGTTCATAAACTTGACGGAAAAGCAAAAGTTTAAACACTCAGTTTCCGTTGTTCTTAAGTGGGCCAAATCGACCATGATCGTGCCCTAACCACAAATCTGGATAGATGCAACTTCTCTTTAATTAGGATTCGATGTAAGGCGACACTTGGCGATTTTCACCTGGCGAAGAATCTTCCCGACTTGTTCCATAACTTGTTATCCACTAAAAGAGATGAAGCAAAAGTTGTTGTGGGATAGAAATACAGGTTTCGAAGAGTCATCTTTATACTGTGAGGTCAGAGGCCTGTGGAAAACGCTGCTCATGCTCTCAAACTGCTCGCAAAATTCCAGTGGGGAGTAGAGACCTCGGGTGAGTACTTTTTGTTCGATTTTGACACCCCCACCTTTATCAGGTATTGTTTTTCAATTGACCATCCATAGATTTACTTGTTTCTTGGGAAGGGTTTAAGTGTTAAAGCCAGATCTGAGAGTTATTAAATGAATACGCCCGGGTTTTCCCAAACTTGACCTCAAACCATTAGAAGGACACACATGTTTTCGTCCGGACTGATTTATCAACTTATTTTGATGATTATCACAATCGATATCAAATGGCGATGCGTCATCAGTGATGTTATACATTCATATACTATACTATACTATACTATACTATACTATAATTTTTATAAGTAAAATTAATTTTCGAAACGATTTCAGCATTTTCTCTTTGATGATTTATTCTAAAATCAAAAATTCATCATGAATACTTTTAAAAAGCTATACTAATAACGTAGTTTTATTAATCGAAGTCAATTTTTCAAATTTGTCTTTGATAGTTTTTTTTTTTTTTTCTTAAATAGAAAAATCATTATGAGCCCTTTTAAAAAGCTAGACTAATAATGTAGAACAATATAATATTATGCTATGCTATAATTTTAATAACTAAAATTAATTTTCGAAAAGATTTCAGAATTTTCTCTTTGATGATTTATTCTAAAATCGAAAATTCATCATGAATGCTTTTAAAAAGCTATACTAATAATGTAGTTTTATTAATCGAAGTCAATTTATCAAATTTGTCTTTGATAGTATTTTTTTTCTTTTTAAATCGAAAGATCATTATGAGCCCTTTTGAAAAGCTAGACTAATAATGTAAGACAATATAATATTATGCTATACTTTTAATAACTAAAATTAATTTTCGAAAAGATTTCAGAATTTTCTCTTTGATGATTTATTCTAAAATCGAAAATTCATCATGAATGCTTTTAAAAAGCTATACTAATAATGTAGTTTTATTAATCGAAGTCAATTTATCAAATTTGTCTTTGATAGTATTTTTTTTCTTTTTAAATCGAAAGATCATTATGAGCCCTTTTGAAAAGCTAGACTAATAATGTAAGACAATATAATATTATGCTATACTTTTAATAACTAAAATTAATTTTCGAAAAGATTTCAGAATTTTCTCTTTGATGATTTATTCTAAAATCGAAAANACAATGTAGGACAATATAATATTATGCTATGCTATAATTTAAATAACTGAAATTAATTTTCGAAAAGATTTCAGAATTTTCTCTTTGATGATTTATTCAATTTTCCGAACAATTTCGAAATATTTCTGTTTGATAATTTGTTAGAAAAATTGCTATAAATTCTTTTATGAGGCTAGACTAATAATGTAGTATAATATTAATGAAACTTGATTTTCCAAACGATTTTCGATTTTCATTCTTTGGTGGTTTATTTAAAGTAGAAAAGTCATTATGAATTCATTTAAAAAACTATTCTATTAATGTAATTTAATATTGTTAACTCAAATCGATTTTCTGAACAATTTCTAAATTTTCTTTTTGATTATTTATTTTAAGATATAAAAATTATTATGTATTCCATAAAGAAAACTATAAAAATAATATTACATTACTAACAAAAAATTGATTTTCCCATCAGCTTTCGATTTTTCTCTTTTATTAATTAATAAAATGACAGAATCATTATGAAATTTCTCAAAAAGTCCATCATTGAAAATTATAATAATAATTATCATTATCGAAGTGCAATAACAGGATAAACAAATTATACCACAATTGTGAAAATTAGACGTTTATTACTGTATTGTTCTGTAAAACAATGTAGTGATAACATAGTTAAATGCATCACATTACTTAATTTATTTATAACATACGCGTAGTAATAAAAATATAACTAAATTTATTTATAACATAAATCAATTTATTGATAAATTAATTGCCCTGTAATTGAGAATTTGTATTTAGTTTCCTTACTTTTGCCTAACTAACCCTTTTTTTTTTCTTTCTGAAAACCGTTTTTGAAAGGGCTGAAAAGAAAATCTAAATGTCCTATAATCCTAAAGCAATATGCAAGTTTTCATTTTATATGGAATACTTATTGTATTTATCTATACGTAATTCAACATAAGATTTTTTTTTGTCTTTTAGCTATTTTTCAATAAGTTTTAAACTCTTAATTTAATAAAGAAAAGCAAGTTTGACGGTACATAAAATTATAAATACATCTAATTTTAATAAATAGTTGAGTAAAAGCTTGTAAAAATATACAGAACAAGCACTTTAATTTCTGATAATTCCTTGAAGCAATTTTTCTTAGAAAATAGAAAAGGATCATCATCTATGTGCCAAATTTAATATTCCTAACATACAGATGGTTGCAGCTCTTTAAACTTCAATAACTACAATTATTTTATAAGAATGATAAAACATTTGGAGATAATGCTTATTCATTATAAGTAGGCAATTTTACAGGGGAACCTTTATTAATTCAAAGATTCAGTTTCCTTAGAATTAATTTGTTTAATCGATGTTGTATTTAGAACAGAAAATAAAGTTGGATGAAATATTAATAGTATCTTAAGTTCTAATAATAATTTCATTTTTCATCATTTGTTCTTATTTTTATTTCTTGCATGCTGTACATTATTTCAAAATTGTTTAATACATTATACGATGCCATTTTTTTAAAAAGTGGAATAAGTTTTCCCCCCTCATTTTCGAGGCTTTGAAGGGCTAACATTTGAATGAATTTAAGAACATTGACAATTGTTAATCAATTTGGTTGATGTTTGAACACTGTAACTTGATGAAACATAAAAATACAAAAATTCTTTTCAAAATCATAAAAATAATTAAATAAATAAGTGATTTTCGGATTGCAAATGTGCTTATCGTCTTTCAAAAATTAAGATTCTCATAATGCTACATTATTAATATTAGTGACGTGTAATTATTTTTTATTTTTCATATATTATTATTTCAATAATATTTTTTAAATATTTCCATGCACATTATAAAAGTATATTTGCATCAAAACCCTTTCCTGATGTCGTGGTCCTATTCTTGAAGGTCAGAAAATCACAGTGTGTAGTTTCTAACTTAAGTAGAATGTAGATTTCTTTGGTAGTTGCCAGCTTGCACTGAATTTTTGGCGAAAAAATATTTATGAATCTAAAATTTAACTGTGTTTACCTATAAAATTTATTTGCCATCCTTTCTTTGTATTTGGCGCTATTATTGCGTTTTTGACTTTATTATTCTAAATTAAGGTCTTAAACTGAAGTGGTGTCTTTTTATGATAAAGCAATCCTACACAAGAAAAATTTTTAGTGTATCTTAACACCAAAAATAGTGGCAACTACTTTATTCCAAAGCGGTGGTCCAACTTTGAATAGTTATACCTTGTTACTATAGTAACCGCCACGAGTCCAGACGAATGGCCAGGGGAGTTCTTACTTTAGACACACTATACATAACTCTATGTTCTAAGTGTTTCACTACACCAATAATTTTCTTTTACACTACTTGGTGTAAAGCAGATGCTACCATTTTTGCTATTAAGTAACTCTAAAATTTAAAGTCATAGTAAGATAAGCTACACATAAGAGTCAGTTATTTTTACGATGGTACGATAAAGCAAGAATCATTAATTAAGGATGTATTGCCATCCTGTCTTTGTTTTATTCTGTGCTATTATTACGCTTTTGACTTTATTATTTTAAATTAAGGTCTCGAAACAGAAGACTTTTTATTATAAAGCAATGCTACACAGGAAAAATTTTTAGTGTATCTTAACACCAAAAATAGTGGCAACTACTTTACTCCAAAGTGGTGTAGTGAAACACCATACGTAACTTTTGGATCTAAGTGCTTCACTACACCAATAATGTTCTTTTACATTACTTGGAATAAAGCAGCTGCCACTATTTCTGCTATCAATAACACTAAAATTTATAATCATACTAAGATAAAATACACATTAGAGTTGGTATAGTTATTTTTACTATGCTACGATAAAGCGAAAATCATTTATTTAGAATACATGTATACAATACTTTTAACATTAAATTGATTTTTTAATCAAGCATACTCACAGTGCAAAGAGAATACTAATACGAATTCAAGCAAGACTTAACCGAAGCGGAAAAATTAAATGTTATAAAAATATTTAAAAGATTCGTGTAAATCATCTTATAAGAACATAATTATCTTCATTATACACTGTAAAAAAATTTTAGTGTATAATTGCCACCACTTTTCTTGTTGAGGTAAACTGAACTTTGTTACAATGCATATATTTTTTGTTTACTTTTTCACTGTTAAATATTTATTTATTTATTTATTTTTTTGTTAGTTTGTTAACTGAAACCGCATCTTTTCTTGCGCATTCGAGTCAATTCAGTTCATTTAAGAAGCAAGGACATTTTTAGTAATATATTCACACACTAATTCTTTCAAACAATTGTTAGTTTGTTAATTTTATATAAGTTTTTGCTATACTTAAAAATTTGCTGCTCTGTATTTAAAAACGTATTTAGTTTACTTCAACACCAAAAATGTTGGCAACTAAATACAAAATATTTTCACAGTGTACAACTAAAATCATACATGCTTTATTATACTTAATTGTGTATTTATAGTTTACTTACTTGTTCTGTAAAAGGTTTAGTCGTGCAAGTCAAATTTTCAATTTCTCTGCTTGATTGTAAACAAAAAATATCGATCATCTGACTTTTTCCAAACGTACGCAAAAGTTGGCGAAAATAGTTTATAAATGGAGTAAATGCTTTTTATCTTGGCATAAGCTTTCTCATTTGTATGAGTTTGGGTTTAACTACATTCTTTAAAGTGTGAATGATTGTTTGATTCGATAATAACTGGAAATAACTCACAACTTTTAGAGATATTCAAACACCAAATTCGTATTGCCATTGCGCCATAGATATTACAGTATTACTTCATTACTCAGTACTTTATGATATTTAAAACGGCATCTTATTAACCATGTTACAATTATGAAAAAGATTTATTTTTGTGATGTGATGGGCTTTAT